ACTTTTAATAAAGCCCGGGGTAAAATGTGTTAAGTGGGCATCTCCCTTTGGATTATTGTTTTAGCCTATTTGGACTTTTTTTTTTTTAATTGGTATTATTATTACAATAAAATTATTACCTATAGTCAGGGGCGTACCTAGAGCATTTGGCACCCGGGGCGGATCCTGTACAGCACCCCCCCCACCCCCAAAAAAACCTGTAAAAAATGTTAAAGGTTTTCTTTCTTTTTTTTTACAATTTGTAAACTTTGCAAAACCGCTGTCAGCCCCTCCTACAAAACCCTTGTCCTGCCCCGCCCCTCCTACAAAACCTCTGTCCTGCCCCTTCTACAAATCCTGTACTGCCCCGTCTACAAAACCCCCGCAACCCCCTTCCACAAATCCCCTGCTTATCCCCCCTTATAAAGACTCCTGTCCCAATACAAAACCCCCGCCCCCTTCTACAAAATCCCTGCAGCCCCACACACACATTTACAGGCAGACAGTCACACACTCAGTTACAGACAGACAGTCACACACTGTTACAGGCAGACAGTTACAGGCAGACAGTCACACACAGTCACAGGCAGACAGTCACACATACACATTTCCTCTGTGCGGCCAGTTTATCAGCTGTTTGCTTGAGTGAGCTGTACTGGCCGCACGGCACCCTAACTACCATGGGACACTGTGCGGCCACAGCTCACACAGCCCCTCCAGCCAGGGCCGGTGCAAGGATTTTTGCCACCCTAGGCAAAAGTAAAGTTTGCCGCCCCCCCCATGTGACATCCTGGCTTACCATATGATTTGCCATGTTAAAATAGCGCCAGTGCTGCAGTACGCCCGTGTTTACATTAAGGCCTGCAGGGACAGCTATGAACTGAACCACTACATTAAGCTGAAGTGGTTCTGGGGACTAGTGTTTCTTTAATGTGAGGTAAATTAGAGCAGTGCACCTGAATAATATACTAAATTTGCCATACTTACAATGAATGGGGATGATGATGGGCTCTAGCTGCAGTCTGGCTCCACTGGTCTGGTGTAGAACAGGCTCTCTGGAGGTTTGTAACTGTGGTCACAAAAATCAATGTTCTGGGAGAACGGGAAGCAGCTCCATTTTTTGGGGGCCCTTTACACAGCTCAAGGTCTGGGTCCCAGGGTCCACCTTCATGTTCCACCAATGAGTTTGTTCACAGGGGGGTGGAGTGTGTAGGGGATGTCCTGATATGTGTGTAAGGAATGCATTGTGTGAAATTGTGTTTGTATGTGTAAGGACTGCAAGGTGTGTTTCTGTGTATGTATGGGATGCATTGAATGTGTGTAAGGGGTGCATTGAGTGTGTGTAATAAATGCATTGTGTGTTTCTGTGTGTGTAAGGGATGCATTGTGTGTAACGGTTGCATTGCTTGTGTATGTGTGTCTGTGTGTGTAATGCATTTTGTGTTTTTTTGTGTGCAAGGGGTGCATTGTGTGTGATGAATGTCAATCTCTCCCCCCCTCCAATTTCCTTCTCTCTCCCCCTCCCAATTTCTCTTTCTCACCCCCCTCCTAATATCTGTTCCCCTCTCCTAATTTCAATTTCTCTCCCTCCCTAATTTCTCTTTCCCCCTCCTAATATCTCTCCCCCTCCTAATTTCTCTCCCCCCCTAATTTCTCTTTCCCCCTCCTAATATCTCTTCCCCCCTCCTAATTTCAATTTCTCACCCCCTCCTAATTTCTCTCCCCCCCAATTTCTCTTTCCCCCTCCTAATTTCTCTTTCCCCCCTCCTAATATCTCTCCCCCCTCCTAATTTCTCTTTCTCACCCCCCTCCTAATTTCTCTCCCCTAATTTCTCTTCCCCTCTAATTTCTCTTTCCCCCCCTCCTAATTCTCTTCCCCAATTTCTTCCCCCTCCTAATTTCTCTCTCCTCTTTCTCACCCCCCTCCTTTCTCTTTCTCACCCCCCCTCCTTTCTCTTTCTACCCCCTCCTTTCTCCTCTTCTCACCCCCTCCTTTCTCCTTTTTCTTTCTCACCCCCTCTTTTCTCTTTCTCACCCCTTCTCTCTCTTTCTCACCCCCCCTCCTTTCTCCTCTTTCTCACCCCCTCCTTTCTCTTTCTCACCCCCTCCTTCTCTTTCTCTCCCCCCTCTTTCTCTCACCCCCTTCTCCTCTTTCTCACCCTCCTTTCTCTTTCTCACCTCTCCTTTTCTCCCCCCCTTCTCCTCTTCTCACCCCCTCATTTCTCACCCCCTTTTTCCTCTTTCTCACTTTCTCCTCTTTCTCACCCCCTCTATTTCTCACCCCCCTTTCTCACCCCCACCTTTGCTGTAGCGTGGCCGAGCCCTGTATAGTCAGCGGGTACAGGGAGCATCTGTTTCCTGTACCCGGCGGACTAAACAGGAAGTGAACACTCAGTGTGCACTTCCTGTTAGTCCGGCCGGGTACAGGAGACAGCTGCTCTCTGTACCCGTCGGACTATCAATGCTGCAGGGCTCGGCCACGCTACAGTGAGGGAGTGACAGGAGGGAGCGCTGAACGCTGAGCGCTTCCCTCCTGTCAGCCCCCTTTCTCAGGCTGCGCCCGGGCGGTGCGGTCCGCCCTCATGGACGCACCGCCCGGGCAAAGCTGCAGCCATGGCACCCCCCACCCTGGTGGCACCCGGGGCGGACCGCCCCCTCCGCCGCCCCCTTAGTACGCCACTGCCTATAATATTAGTATTGTATTATTTATGGCTTCTTCTTTCCTGCATATCCTTCATATCTGAGGTGGGGATCATGCCACCAGAACCCCACACCAGCAGAGCTGGTCCATGCTCTGGAAAGTGCAAATAGCATACTTCATTTTTATATTGCATACATACCCTTATAGACTGTACCACTGGGTCTCCTTTCTCTCTCCATATACCTTGCTGCTATTGGATGTAGAGAACACTTGACCATCCCATATGACGATTGTACCATCCGTGCTGGTTACAGTAGAGCTTGTAATAGCTCCTGAAAGTGTGAATGTGTTTCTTGGTATTTTCATCTAACAGTTACTATATTTTTACACATTGCACTATTATTTGTGTTGTTTCTCTATTTCTAAGATTCACCTTGCTGTTTATAAAGAATCCATCCTGGCCTGTGTGTATCCTGTGTGTATGTATGCGTATATATATATATATATAGTTCCAATTGCTTGCACTCCTGGATTAATAGTAAAAAGCCCGGTGCTTAACAGCCACATAATAGGAATAAAGTAATGATAGCACTCCAAGGACTTCGAAAATATTGTGAAAAAAAAACTTAACTTTTTATTCAGGCATCTGCCACAGAAGATCAATGTTTCAGTTCTCTAAGGAACTTTTGTCAGTATATATATATATACACACACATACACATGTGCGTGATTATACCAAGCTACAAATTTATCCCCAATTTTTCCGTTTTTCCCTTTAGAGCGAGGTCTTTCCTTCATCCACATCATCACTCCCAAAGTTTGTTTGTTTTTTACTGCATGTGCTTTACATTGTCTGTGTCCATAGACCAATAAGGAAACATAAATGATGTTTCCACAAGGAAGCAGGTTATAAAATTCTCACACTATTGTAATGCACTTTGAGCAAGCTAGCAGTGTTTCTGGGATCTGTGTATGGTAAGAGATGTCTATGTTATTATGGCTGGCACCTTTTGCCACATATTCTGCTATTGCCTGGATATCCACAATTTAAAAAAACAAAACACATGGTTGTTTCCCCCCTTTTTGATCTCAGACCTTGATGTTCTTGAATGGATTTCAAACTATAGGTGAGTGAGCTAATTTATACTGAGACAAAAGATAACCAACATGTCAAAATAGCTGGATAGAGTGTCTATTTATGGAGTGGGGATATAAATGTCCTGTCTTATGTAAAATTAGAAATGTTATTTTAATGACTGTATCATGTTATAGGAGAAGTTATTTTATTATATGATTGATAAGATGGTCAGAGTTGAGACAGAAACAAACTTTAGTATGTAGTTTACCTTTATTTTTTACAATAGTTGATGCATTTGTAAAGTATCTCTCCAGACTATTAGCTGTGTTTACATACGATGATACAATACCACAAGCGGTAATATCATCTGATAATTCTCCTGAAATGTGTGCTTAAAGAATAAATAATGGAGAATAATAATAATAATCGTAATGACTCTTTATAAAAAGTATTTGGGTTTGATAAAGGGGTATGAGAATGGTGAAAGCATTACATGTATCAATAAAATGTTAGGCCAAGGCATTATTATTATTATTTTTTAACCCCTTAAGGACGGAGCCAAATGTACACGTTGTGAACGAAACAAAATGTAAACAAAACCTGGCATTTGCGCTACATGTCTGTCCAACCGTAATTCACCTCTTTCATAGTAAATGCACCCACCCTTATTATATATCATTTTATTCAGGGGAAACGGGGCTTTCATTTAATATCAAATATTTAGCTATGAAACATAATTTAATATGAAAAAAAGGGAGAAAAGATTTTTTTTTATTTTTTTAGTTCTACATGACATTTTAACTGTCAATGTCATAATACTAACAAAAACAACAATATATGTGAACACAGCCCCAGTGAAAAATATACAATTAAAAGCAAACCAGGACTTCCCTGCAGTTTAGGTGAAATATCCAGGTAAATCCCCAAAGACTTCCTCTTGTCTTCAGATAGATATATACAAATAGAATAGGGGATGATCTGCTAAATACAGATAAAATAAAGAAACATAGCGCTTAACTGTGTGGGGACTAGTGACAGTGTGCAGTTACAATTGGTCACTCACAAATTGTTTGTTGTAAAGAAGCCTTGGATTGTATCCTTTTTCTTCAATATCCACTGTATTGTCCCTCCTCACATGTCATAAGTAGATAGGCATATATAGCTCAAAAGAGAAAAATATACAAAATGTAGTGCACTTCCAGAGTATATTAAAAAGTAATTTAATGACTTACATTAAAGTATAAAACAAACAGCATGTCACCATGAAAACATCCTACGAGTTTCGTCCTTCAGTTGGACTTCCTCAGGGACTTGGTGAAATAAAGTACAGTAATAGTAATAGCAGCAATCAAAAATATCCCTCCCACAGTCCTTTTATACATCCCCCATTGATTATTCAGAGATTTTCGGCCGGTGTTCAATTTCCGTTTCGGCGGCAACAAGCCGGATGACGTCATCACGTGCGCCGTATGCGTTCCATTTTGCGTTCCACGAACCCGGAAGTGGATCGCGATCAGTTATCTTTCTCTCTTCCTCTGGTACATTTGCTCCAAAAAGTGTGTGGACAGATGGGCAAAACGAAAGGGAGGGGGGAGGGGGAAATAGCTATTAAAATAAATCTCTGGATGGCACTACATACATAAAATGATTATGCTAATTGTTACAATCTATAATTACAGATGCATGTATATATACATTCTTCAATTCTGCAAAAAAGACCATCCATATTTTTGGAAAATCTTAGATTGCAGATTTTATATAAAGTGCATTTTAATAGTGAGTGTATATACACATATCTACATCCTCATAGTTCACACAAATTATATATGAAAAAATGTATAGTTTTATAGATTTACATCATGTAAAATTATAGTACAATGATCACTCTATGATAACAAAATAGTGAAACCCATTTACATTGCACTTTTACCTCTATCTCCATAAAGAATTTTCCTTTATATATTTTTGTCTTTAGAACAGAATTTGTGTGTATATACAAAAATTTTAATAAAAAAATAATTTAATAAAAAATATAATAAAAATTTTTTTATATAAATTTATTTTTTATTTTTTTAAAATTCTTTATTTGTAGGTTTTTCTCCTTGAAATTAGGAGGGAGGGGAATGGGGTACAGAAAATAAAAGGAGGGGTGGGTGGGGGTGGTTCAAGACTTAATAGTACTTTCAAATTTAATGTCAGTACCAACGCAGGGTACTGTTGCATATTGGAAATAGCTTACATTCGTATCAACATTTTATTAACATTGTATCTTCCTTGAACGCTTATTTAAGTTCCCTGTTGTTTCTACGTTCTTAAGGGATGGGTTTTGTCACTCGTCGACTCTTTGTGAGTCCTATCTCGCTATGTATGGGTGCAGCGTTGTCCGAGTCAAGGAGTGGTTTAGGGTAAGGGTTGTGGGATAGGGCGGTGTGGACATGGGGGCTACCCAGCGCGCGGGTCCCTCTCGGGGGTCCTAGGTTGGTGTTTGGGGCTATGTGGTTAGGTGAGGGTTGTACTTATTTGGAGGTGTGTGATATCCTCGATTAGTGGGTCCCTATGCTAGGGGGGGGCGGTTAATATCCTATCGTGTTACCACGGAATGGTCGTGTCTCCCTCCAGCCATGGGTCCCATATTTTTTGAAATTTTTTGGGCGAGTCATGTATTTGTGCTGTGAGCCTATCCATTTGCATGCCATCTTTTATCTTCTTGGTAATTGTTTCTTGTGTCAGTATGCGGTTTGTTGACCAGACTTCTGCTATGGCTCTATGTGTTGCTAGGGCTATGCGGGCGGATAGCTTATTTTCAGCTCTAGTGTATTGGTCTATTGGCTTGGAGAGTAGGAGCATCCAAGGGTCTAAGGGACAAGGTTTGTCTATTAGTTTGGAGATTAGGCGTGTGGTGTCTTGCCAAAGTGGTTGGAGTTTCGGGCACGTCCACCAACAGTGGAGGAACGTTCCCGTCTCTCCGCATTGTTTCCAGCAGGTGTTGGCTGGTATTTGGTGCATGATGGCCAGGCGTTGGGGGGTGAGGTACCAACGGAATAGCATTTTGTAGGCTTGCTCAGTGTGCTTGACACATATGGAGATGGAGGCCGTTGCCTCCCAGATGTCTGACCAATCTGTTGTTTCGTCTGGGGGTCCGAGGTCTGCCTCCCATGCCGCTATGTATGGGAGAGACAGTTGTGTGTGGTGGGTCGCCAAGGTTGCATATATGTCGGAGATTTGTCCTTGTCTGTTGGGGTGCGCAATGCAGTCTCTTTCAAATCGATTGAGTTGAGCCGTGCCGGCTTGTTTTATGATTGGAGTCGCTGCAAAGCTGCGCAATTGTATGAATCTAAAGTGATCGAATGATGTGAGTGAGGATGAGTCTTTGATATCTGAGAATTTTATAATGTCGTCGTCTTGGTACAAATGCCCTAGACGGGAAATGTCCCTGTGTTCAAAGTGGGCGAAGTGCTTGGGGGTAAGTCCCGGTGGGAATAGCTTGTTCCTCCATATGGGGGTCATAGGAGATAGGAACGATGACAGTTCAAATTTGTCCCTCATTTTGTCCCATGTATCAAGTGCATGGGTGATTGAGGGTGCGGTGGGAGGGGGTAGGGGTCTATGTGGTTTGGGTACCCACATGTACAGGGACGGGTGGTCCCGACCGAAGATGTTGTGTTCCAAGTCCACCCATCTTTTTTCCCCTGGTGGGACGTGCCAGTGTTGTATCTGCGTTAGGTGTGCTGCCGTGTGGTAGTGTGTGAAGTGTGGTAGTCCTAGTCCCCCATGTTTCTTGGGTACGTATAGTGTGTTTCGGCGTACTCTGGGTTTGTGTCCATTCCAGATGAATGTGTCTATGGCTGTTTGTAGTGCCTTAAAGTCTTGTTTATGGATCGGTATGGGGAGGGTTTGAAATAGGTATAAGAATCTGGGTAGGAGATTCATTTTGATTGTGGCGATGCGTCCCAGCCATAAGACCCCCTAGTGATTTCCATTTAGTGAGGTCAGAGTGGGCTTTTTGTAATAAGGGAGTGTAGTTTGTTTTATAAAGAGTGGTGATGTCTGTTGGATCCCTAGGTACGTCATCGTTGTGTGGCAGATCCTCATCGGGCATATTTGTTTGAGTGTAGCTAGGTTTGGAGCATCTATTTGTATTGGGAGGAGCTCTGATTTATTCAGGTTGATCTTGTACCCTGACAAGTCTGAGTATTCTTGGATGAGAGTTAGGAGCGAGTTTATGGATTTTTCCAGGTTTGTCAGTGTTAGCAGGATGTCATCCGCGTAGGCTGAGATTTTAAAGGTTTCTCCCCTGATCGTTAGCCCCTCTATGTCATGGCTGGCACGCACCGCTTGCAGCAAAGGTTCTAGTGATATGGCGAATAGTAGGGGGGATAAAGGGCACCCCTGTCTCGTGCTGTTTGAGATGGGGAATCGGGTGGGGGGATGTTAGGTAGTAGAAGTGCCCCTTGGGGAGAGTGATAGATGGCATGCACGAATGAGGTAAACTCGGGTGGTATCCCTATGTATGTTAGCGTCTGATAGAGGAACGGCCAGAGCAAGCGATCAAACGCTTTTTCCGCGTCCAGTGAGATGATCGCTGTAGGGATTCGTCTGTGGTTAGCCAGCCATATGAGATCAACGGCTCTCCGGGTGTTGTACCCGGCGTGCCTATGTGGGATGAATCCCACTTCATCTGGGTGTATGAGGGATCTTAGGTATGGGTTTAAGCGGTTGGCCATGATTTTGGTCATGATTTTAAGGTCCACGTTGAGTAAGGAAATTGGTCTGTAGTGTGCGGGTTCAGAGTGGTCTTTGCCGGGTTTTGGGAGGAGGCAGATGTTTGCCCCGGTCATTTCTGGTGGGAGGTTCTCTCCCTTGAGTGCTGCATTAAAGACCGCGCATAGATGTGTAAGGAGTAGTGGGCCGAATTCTTTGTAATATAGGGCTGTGTAGCCGTCCGGTCCTGGGCTTTTATTTGGTTTGAGGGATCCCACTGCCATGGTCATTTCTTCTGTTGTGACGTCTTGGCTCAGGGCTGCTTGGGCCTCTTGCGTCAGGGTGGGTAGCGTCGTGCTTTGTAAGAATGTGTCTATGCGTGTGGACAGCGATGGGCTGGTGTCATGGGGTCGGTGGTCATGGTTGTAGAGGTCCGTGTAATAGTCCTGGAAGACTTTTCCTATGCTAGTTGTGCAGTCTGTGAGGGTACCATCGTTCGCGCGTATCTTTGCAATGCGTTTAGCTTCAGTTCGCTTTTTAAGTCTGCGGGCAAGCATGGTGTCCGCCTTGTTGCCCTTTTCATAATATTTTTGTTTGAGCCACATCAGAGCTTTGGCTGTGTCTGCTTGTGTGAGGGTGTTAAGGAGGTTTCTGGTCGCCGTAAGTTTGGACAGGGTGGTCGGGTTAGGGTTCTTTTTGTGTTCCGTTTCTAGGCGGCGGAGTTTTGTCATCGTTTCTAGTATTTGTCGTTGTGGTTTTTTTTTTTATGGGTGGCTAGGTTGATGAGTGTGCCTCTGATGACTGCATTATGTGCTGTCCAGAGGGTCATAGGTGAGGTCGTTGTGGGTGAGTTTAAGTCGAAATAATCTTTGATTGCTATAGCTATTTTGTCTCTAATCAGTTGATCATGAAGGAGTATTGGGTTAAGTCGCCATGACCAGTGTGTGTGTATGGTCGGTAGGTTTAGAGTGATTGCTATCTCGGCACGGTCGGACCAGGAAATAGGTCCGATCTCCGATTTGGTGATTTGAGATAGTAAGTTTGGTGAAATGAGAAAGTGGTCAATGCGTGAATAGGATCCGTGTGGGTGGGAGTAGAAGGTGTAGTCTTTGGTGGTCGGGTGTTGCGCCCTCCATATGTCAATCAGTTTGTGGGAAGCCAGGAATTGGGCGAAGAGGACGTCGTTTTGGTTTGGGCGAGTTCGTGTTTTGGCGCTTGAAGTCCTATCTATGGCAGGCATGTGTACTGCGTTGCAGTCCCCACCCACTGTAAGTCGTGTGGCTGAGTACGTGTTGAGGTGGGTCGCTAATTGTTGCCAGAAGGTTGGGTCTGGTGTTGTGGGCGCGTAGAGCGATGAAAAGGCGTATTGTGTTGTGCCTATTTTTCCCTGTATTGTGATGTATCTACCCTGTGGGTCTTTAGAACAGGTGATGTCTGTGAGGGGGCTGTTTGCTCTCAAAAGGATCGCTACACCTTTGGTCTTGGTGTCTGGGGAGGGAGCATGGAAGCTCTGTGTGTAGTATCTGTTAGTGAGGGGGAACATGCGGTTGATTGTGAAGTGGGTTTCCTGTATGAGGACTATGTCAGCTTGTTGTTTATGTGCCCAGCGTAGAATGCCATGCCTCTTGTTGGGGGAGTTCAGTCCTTTGGCGATAATGGAGATGCATCGTATTTGTGTAGGCATGGTGTCTGTAGGAGTGTGGCAGTGTCTGAGGGTTTGCAGTGATGGGTTATCCTGAGTTGCGCGTCCGGGTGGCTGCGGGCCGCGAGGGGTGGGGGGGAGGGGAGGGCGGGAGAGGTGAGGGTGTTAGCCTGGGTTAAGGTAGTGGAAGGGAGATATGGGTAGAGTGTGCTACTGGGCTTATCCGAAAGCCAGTAGGTAGTGGGGCGAAGCGTCCGACCGCTCCGTGGGTTTCCCCGTGAGTTCGGTTAGGTGTGTGTGTGTCGGGGATTGGCGACCGTCCGGTCAGGGCCGTCCAGAGGCAGTTTTCAGTAGTCGCCCGCGTTACCGTATGTGCTGTGGTCGGTCATCGTTGTGGTGGCGTTGCGTCCGTGAGGTTAGCCCTCTACATAGCGTGCCGTGTGTGTGCAGGGTCGTACCTTGTGAGCCCGTGGGGCGTTGGTCTGGTCGTTAGCGGGTTTAATATAGGTGCGGTGGTGAGGGTGTGCTGTCACCGTCCAGTCGTAAGATGTCGGCGTGGTGCCGTCTGCTGTAAGTGGCGTCCGTCAGCACGTGAGGTGGGGTGGGGTGTGTCGGTTAGCTGAAAAATGATGAGTAACAGTTTTACATTGTAACACAACAGTTTAACATCAACTTCAATTTAGTTATATACATTTCCTCTGCCTTAGTGTCCAGAGGTTCCCGTGTTGCGTGTCTTCCCCTGTGGTGTCTCTCTGTGGGGAGTCCTAGGGGATCACTGGGCTGGGAGGCTGAAGGAATGGGGGGGTTGATTTGTAGCTGCACTTTCCTGGCCCCTCGGTTGCCTGGTGCCATGTCTTTGCAAGTCGTGTAGGTTAGTGTGAGTCCCTCCCTGTATTGGTCCGATCATATCCTTGGTGGTGCCCCGGTTTGCATTGGGCCCTAGGGGTTGTATGTGCTCAGGGTGTGTCTGTCTAAGTCCTTCTATTTCCCAGGGCGTGCCGTTTGTGCTTAGCCTCTCTGGTGCTTGTGGTGTTGTCACCGGTGTTCTATGTGGAGGGTGTGCCCGCGTCTCCTGGGTCCCAGTGTGTCTAGTGCGGGAGCAGAGTATGGTCCCGGATACTGCTTTATTGAGTCTCCTGGGAAAGTGCGCTCTAGGAAGCCAACAGTGTTTTGAGGTGTACTCCTGAAAGGTGTCTATCATTGGGCGCCATGTCCATTGTTGGGGGGTGCCCCAGCCCTCCCTCCCCACCCAAGGTGTGCCTCCCTGCGGGTATCTGCACTGTTTTGGTGCTAGGTCGTGGTGTTGTATGCTGTGGCCTCTAGGATACCTGTGTAGTGGGTGAGTGTGGGGCAACTGTTCCACGTTGCTCCAGGGATAGCAGTGGTCTGTGACTACATAGGCTGGTACCGAGAAGGGTACTAGTGCGTGCCGCCTGCATTCCTGAGTCTATAATTTCTATCTATTGGAAGATACCTATTGACTAAGTAGCGAGCTGGAAACATATAATTTCTATCTATCGAATGAGTGTATAATGTTACCTGTTCGCTGTTTGGTTGATAGGACTCATATAAATTTAATTTTAATAAAAATTGAACATCTAAATCTAAGAATCAAAATAAAAATAAAAATAAAATTTAAAATAAAAATAAATATAAAAAATATAAAAATAAAAATAGAATAAAAATGAAATAAAAATAAATATAATTATAAATAAATAAAAATAAAAATAATGAAAATGAAAATAATAATAAAATAAAAATAAGAATCCTTAATTTCCGAATGAGGGAAAAGTGCGATGTTCCCCAAACACTCCACAAACGAAAAAACAAAGTTGAAGTTATTTATTTAGTCTTCAAAAAAGCTCCACAAATCAAAATCAAAATTTAAACCGAAGGGTTGGAGTAGCTTATTTATCCAGAAGGTTTCTCTTTGAGAGAGCCTCTTGGCTAAATCCCCTCCTCTCCAATACGGGTCCACATGCTCAATGCCCAAAAAAGTAAAGCTTCGCCAATCAAATTTATTGCAAGTATTGCAATGTAGTGATTATGTGTTTGACTGATTTTTTTTCTGATATTATTTTGATGTTCTAATATTCTTTCTTTTAACTTCCTACATGTTCTCCCCACGTATTGTTTTCCACATGGGCATTGAAGCATGTATACCACATTCCTCGTATTGCAATTTATGTTGGATTTTATTTTGAATCTTTCTTTTGTAGTGAAGCTCATGAATTCTTTCTTTTGTATACATTTTTGATTTTTGCAGGCTTTGCAAGAGTTGCAGGGATTAAAACCACTAATATTGGAGGTCGTACCTTTACGTGGAATTTTTAATGCATAACTAGGTGCTAATACATTTTTTAAATTTTTTGTTCTCCTAAAAATAACTGGTGTTTTTTCCGGTAACACTTTACCTAAAATAGGATCCTGACGTAGGATTTTCCAGTGTTTATTAAGAATCTTTTTTATTTTCCAATGTTGTGTGTTATATAATGTTGTGTGACCGGGTAAGTAAAGAAAGACCGGAGGGCGTACAATTATGCCCGGCGGCGTTTAGAGCCGCCTAAAATAGGGCGTAATTGTACGCCAGCCGGTCTTAAGGAAGAAGGCAATTTTACCTTTTCTGATCAAAACGACATGTAAATAAACCCTAGAATTTGAGCTATATTTCTGTTCAACCATAATTTCTCTCTTTCATATTAAGTGCACCACACTTCTATATCATTTTGTTCAGGAGCAAAAAGGGCTTTCAAATTTCACATCAAATATTTATAAATGAAACAATTTAACCCGTTAACACCGTTACGGCGATCTATGCTGTCCCGCATTAAGTGGGCTTTAAAGCCGTTGCGGCGGCATAGAATGCCGTAACGGCTTTGAGCCCCTGGAGGTCCGCGGTACTCACCTCCGACGCGATCCTCTTCTGTCAGGCAGCCCTCCCCCGGCAAATGAGTCCCCAGGGGGCCATGTGATCACTCTCAAAGAGCGATCCCATGACCCCCTGTAGCTGGCTGTGGATCTACCAGCAGGGGGACTGTCTGAAATGTCAGACAGTCCTCCTGCTAATGGGAAAGTAAAAAAAAAACAAAACATGAGACATGTTATAAAATAGAAATGTATGTATATATATATATATATATATATATATATATATATATATACACACACACACACACACACAATATATATATGTAATTTTATACAAAGTGTATTTTAATATAAGTACATATATTAGTATTAAAATACACTTAGAATGACGTTACATATATAATATATAATAGATATATGCACATATATTATATATATATATATATATATACACACACGTATAATTACAATAATAAATAAAATATTGAAACAAAATTTAATATAAATGATATATTCATATGTAATTTCATTCTAACCGTATTTTGTTATTTATATTATATAAATAATACATATAATTACATAAAAGATTACATTAGTATACACGTAAAATTTAAATACCTATAAATGCATATATATTAAAATTCTACGTGTATATTTAAGTAATTTTTTAACATAATTATGTGATTTGATTAATTAAAATTTGATTGACATGCCTGACAACACAGGAAGAAAGTGCAGAGAATTTAATTCGAAAGCACTATATTTGACCCTGTAACTCTCAAAGACACCATGAAACCTGTACATAGGGGGTACGGTTTTACTCAGGATACTTCGCTGAACTCAAATATTAGTGTTTCAAACTGGTAAATTGTATTCCAACGATGATATTTTAAGTAAAAGTGACTTTTTTGCATTTTTTTTTTTACCAACGAACGGCACTTTTATGGACTATATTATTGTTGTAATATGTTTTACTGTTTTAAAACACTAATATTTGTGTTTAGTTCTCCCGAGAATAACAGTACCCCCCATGTACAGGTTTTGTGGTGTTTTGGAAAATTAGAGAGTTACATATAAGGCTTGCATTTAATTTTTTTGACATTGAAATCTGCCAGATTGGTTATGTTGCCTTTGAGAGCGAATGGTAGCCCAGGAATGAGAATTACCCCCATGATGACATACCATTTGCAAAAGTAGACAACCCAAGGTATTGCAAGTGGGGTATGTCCAGTCTTAGTAGCCACTTAGTCACAAACACTGGCCAAATATTAGTTTTTTGCTCTTTTCACACAAAAACAAATATGAACGCCAACTTTGGCCAGTGTTTGTGACTACTAAAAAAGACTAAACATACCCCACTTTCAATACCTTGGGTTGTCTACTTTTTCAAATGGTATGCCATTATGGGGGTAATTCTTGATCCTGGGCTACCACACAGTCTCAAAGGTAACATTACTAATCTGGCAAATTTCAATTTGAAAATGGAATGTTCTATATTTGACCCTGTAACTTTCCAAAACACCATAAAACCTGTTAATTGGGGGTACTGTTGTACTCGTGAGACATCGCCGATTACAAATATGTGCATTTTTTTTGCAATAAAACCTAACAGTATTATGACACTCACAGCTAAAATGTCAGACGGAAATACAAATTAAAAAACAAACCAAAAAAAAACAAACCTTTTCTCACATTTTTTTAAATTTTATTCATAACTAGAAAAGCTACAATTTCTGGGGAAATTGTGTGAAGTGTTCTTGCCTTCACCAGTAGTCTACAACTGGAGTGGGCGGAGCAACTGTTATCATTTATATAGCACATTTAATTGCAACGTTGTTGCACAGTTACATTAAACCATACATTTATAAAAACATTAGCAGGTGTTCAAAAGGCCCTGTCTATGACATCACTTGCTGCTGCAGCCTTGCACAGGTCAGAGTATTTTGGCGGTTGCCATCTTCAAACGGTCGTATTTTAAAAAATTTAAATCCTACAGCGAAGAGCTTTATATTGTGAGAATCACAAGACCCAGACCTACATTTTGATGCATAGTATGTCTCTGAAGTATTAAAATTGAAGGCACAGTCGCAGTTTAGAAATTGCACTTCAAATTTGAGCTTTGCAGAGTGAAGTTTCAATGAATGTCAATGGACGGCGTTAGTTGCAAACAAATGATTATATTGTGAAAACTATCAGGACTATGGCTTAGCCGTTGACATGTTTAGTGGCAGCAGGGATAGCTGAACGTTTTGATATAAGATTTGTGTAGGTGGGCCTGAAAATAAGGGAGTGGTGGCAGTTTAGAAATCATGTCCTGATTTTTCAGCTTTTGCCAGCTCCCACTCTAGCTTTGCCATTTATTCCTATGGGACAAATTGCGCCACAAGAACGATGATATTCCGTGAACCATTCGGCGAAACGTTCCACAAAGTAATAGCAATCCGATCGGGAACAATCTGCACGTTTTGGTACATTTTTGTCTATGTAGTGTAAAAACTGTGGGAGGAGTTAGGGTGGCAAATTTGGCTATGATAAGAATAAGAACTAGAAAAGCTACAATTTCTGGGGAAATTGTGTGAAGTGTTCTTGCCTCCACCAGTAGTCTACAAGTGGAGTGGGCGGAGTAACTGTTATCATTTATATGGCACATTTAATTGCAACGTTGTTGCACAGTTACATTAAACCATACATTTATAAAAACATTAGCAGGTGTTCAAAAGGCCCTGTCTATGACATGACTTGCTGCTGCAGCCTGGCACAGGTCAGAGTATTTTGGCGGTTGCCATCTTCAAACGGTTGTATTTTGGCTATAATAATAATAATAATATATATGTGAGATAACAATAAGTGGTCTTGCTATGCAAGACCACTTAATAATAATAATATATATATGTGAGATAACAATAAGTGGTCTTGCTATGCAAGAACACTTAATAAATTATGTTCCATATATGAATACTTCATGATAAATTAAAGCCCTGTTTCTCCTGAACAAAATGATATATAATAAGTGTGGATGCACTTAATGTGACAGCGGTGAATTACGGTTGAACAGACATACAGCGCAAATTCCAGTTTTTGTTTACGTTTTGTTTTGATCAGAACGTGCACTATTGACTCCGTCCTGAAGGGGTTAATATTAATACAATCTAAAACAGTTTGAGAAATCAAATGTTATTTTCTTAATTCTGCATGTCATTTTAACTGTGAATGTCAAAATACTGTTGGCTTTCACTGCAGTAAATTACACATATTTGTGTTCAGTGAGGTCTCACGAGTACAACAGTAACCCTCATGTACAGGTTTTATAAATTTACAGGGTTAAATATAGGGCTTTCCGCTTTTTAGTTTTTACACATTGAAATTTGCCAGATTGGTTTGCTGGGCCTATGTTGCTTTTGAGACCGTATGGCTGCCCAGGAATGAAAAGTAACCCCACCTTAGCATACCATTTGCAAAAGTAGTAACCCCATTTTGAATACCCTGGGTTATGTCCAGTCTTTTTTTTTTAATAGCCACTTAGTCACAAAACCTAAGTAACAAAGTTAGCATTGATATTTTTTTTACATCACACAAAAACTGTTCTTTCACGGATGATATCACCATCATTACACATTTTACTGTTTTAAAACACTCTTTATGTGTATAGGAGATGTGCGTGTAAGAAATTCAACGTGTGTACAGTGGACACAAGGTTTATAACAGATGTAGTGTAAGTGAGTGATTCAGTTTCTGTATGTGTGTAAATTTGTGGGGTAGGATAGTGGCCTGTAATCTGTGTGGGTGATGAGAAGAGCAGTTTTATATTGCATTATTTTATTATTATTATTAATCCCTGGTGGTAAACGCTGCCAATACAAATCCCATGGTGGTCCAGTGAGGCTCATGATTGCATCACTGCTGGGTGCAAGCTCTTATCATAAGCCCAAGCATTGTGCAGCGTCCCAGTAGTGACCCACAGGGATGTTCTGACCAAACAGGCCTGCCTGAAGTGAGGACCCAGTGGAAATGTTGACAGGGCGCTTTCTCCAACTAAAGAAGCCTATATGGTTTGCATCTCTCTCACGAAGCCTGATCGCGTGCGTGTATATATATATATATAAAATTATTATTGCCATTTATATAGCGCCAACAGATTCCGTAGAGCATATATATTATATATTCATCCTAGTCTATTCATGAAACACTTTTAGCTCTTTGCTACCCCACTTCCTCTCCTCTAGAACTCCTTTCCTTATACCCGGTGACTTTAATATCCCAATCAACAACCCCAACTGTCTTGATGCCAGTTGTCTGCTCTCTATAACATCCTCCTTTGGCCTCACACAATGGTCTAATTCAGCAACTCATACAGCGGGAAACACTCTTGACCACCAATTGATCTTCACCAATCTCTGTTCCGCCTCTAATCTGCCCAATCTTCCATTCCGTCTATCAGACCACCATTTGCTGATCTTTAATATCTCCATGCCCGAATCCAAATTACACCACCGTCAGGACATCAGTCTCACAGAACCCTCCACTATCTTGACCTACAGAGATTCTCCCCCAACCTCCATTTTTTTTACCCATCTCACCCGCCCAAACTCTGCAACCTTCCTAAACTACTCCACCCTTACATCTCAACTAGACATCATGGCACCTCTTACATTTAAACGCAGCAAGCGCCCCCAATTACAACCTCGGTACACAAAGCTGACTCGATACCTCCAGAAGTCTTCCAGAATGGTTGAGCCCTCCTAAAAAAAGTTATGCTGCACTCTTACAGTTTGGCTCTTTCCTTTGCAAAAAACAAACAAAAAAAGCACTAAGTATCAGCTATTCCTCACTGATGATGCCTAACAAGGCTGAAATGATCGACTGGGGTTGCTGTATCTCTTGTGCAGAGCGAGCTGGCCTGTATTTTGGATCTGTTCTGCTCTTTTGGGTGGAATCAGTCTGAGATGCATGGTCTGGTTCTCTCTGTAATGGCACAAGATGAGCTAAAACCAGCTTGAGAACTGAGCGGGGATCCACCGAAAGGCAGGCTGATTGAGCTGTTGTCCGTCCTCAGCACTCTCTTGTGACTTGTTTTTTTTGCTCTACCAAAAAACACTACTTCAATAATCTCATAACTATGCTCTCCTGCAAACCCAAACGCTTATTTCACACTTTTAATTCTCGCTGCCCTATTGCTCCTCCTCCTACCAACTTGACCTCCACAACCTTTGCAACTCACTTCACCGAGATTTATACAATCATACAAGAGATCTCTCATCTCTTTCCTTCCCCTACAAATACTTTCCCCAACCGCACCCACTCTGCTGTTCTATGCTCATTTGCCCTTGCTACAGCAGAAGGTTTCTGCCCTGCTCCATACCACTAACTTCTCTCGCCTAGACAACTGCAGTTCGCTTGCCCCGTTACAGTCTATAATGAATGTGGCGGTGAAGCTCACCTGCCTGTCCACCAGCACCTCCCCCACCTCCTCCCTCTGTCCCTGCATTGGCTTCTTATTCGATATTTTTTTTAAATTCCAGTACTGTTTACAACTCTACACTATAATGCTCTAACCTATCTACACTCCCTAATACAAAAATATGTCCTGTCTAGGCCCCTATGCGCTGCTGAAGACAGTCTATCCTTCTGCCCGCAGTCCCACCTCTAATACTCGACTTCAAGACAACTCTAAGGCTGCACCTAGGGTTCTTTGTTAGACTTTTACTCTGTCTCCAGTCCTTTAAAAAAATAAAAATAATATAAATATATATCTCATTGCGTACTCACTTCTTCAGAAAAGCATATCAATTAAACTGCTTTCACTCCCCACACCATGATTCTTCTCCTGCAACGGACATAAAAATCCCCACACTCAAGCCTTCAGTGAATACCATTCTAGCAACCTTAGTTTTCTACTCTACCCTTACCGTTTGTTTCATTATACCCCACTACTGCTAGCGTGTAATCTCATCGAGCCGCACCCTCAACCCCACTGTACAGTGTGCTTCCCTCCTGCCGGTCACCAATAGTGCACTTCCCTCTGTGCCACCTTATGGTAGCAACTTCCTTGTATGTACACATCTCTTCATTTTCTAGCCCAATAAAGATAGTTATCAATGATTTGAAAACCAACCTTACAATATTTACCTGTTGAGGTACATTTCATCTGTCTCTTATCTCTACCATGGTGGGCAATAAAATACATACAGGGTTTTTCACTAAAGTGAGAATTCAATGTGAATTTCTAATTGAAGGACAGAGTAGGCACGCTAAACAATATGTATCCAGATGGGTTATTTATCCAGTTCTTATTCAGAATTCTCACTTTAGGGAAAATACCCGGATAGACAAACCTACCACAACAAAACAGTATGAGGTTACCACTATAACTTCCCACTAACACAAACTATTTGCCTGTGAGCCAAACGTGATAAAAACAAATCTTCAATATGAATGTCAGATCAATTTAAAAGTTTAATAAGATACCCTGACTCTTGTTTATGCAATCGGTTGGAAAAAGTAACCATATAGACCAGGGGTATGCAACCTTCTAGCAGCACTGTGCCGAAATAGGATTGTGAAGTCCCGTAGCGTGCCGGTCTTATTTTTTTAATTTGAGGTGTGCATGTTGCCGTATTGTGCTTGTGTTATTTATACTGCAGTTGCTTTGGATCGTATTTGTGCGTATATGTCCTACTATATTGTATATGTTCATGAGTAGTTTGTGGTATTAAGTACCTATGGATGTGGGCTTTGTATGGGGGCTGTTTATGGAATTGTGTGTTTGGATGAATGGCACATTGGTAGTATGTGTGGAGCTGTTTGGGGTATTGCATGTGGGGTTGTTGGGGGGTGTGTGTTGGCTGTTCATATTATTTGAATGAGTGGAGAGTTATTCTGCAGCTCTGTATATCTAGCAGTGTGAGTGGCTTCCCTTGGGGACCAGGCACAAACAGCAGCTGCAACCTGCTCTACTCCAGTGTGGATTTCCATTCACAAGTGCTGGGAAGAAGTGATCTGGGTTTACTTCCTCTACGTGCTGCAATGGATAGATTGAGGATTGTCCTTCACCACCTTTTCACATTAGCAGATAACTGAAGTTTCACTGGGACTCCTGCTAGGGCAGAGAGGCCTCTTTGGCTACCCCTGATATAGACCATTATGCATATCTACACAATATCCATTCCTGGGACTCCAACATGTAAGTGCCCCAAAGATAAATAGTGCAAATGATTAAATTTGTATGTAAGCAAGTGCCATCCCCTGACACATACCCTGTGCTGGGTGCATTCACCTAACGACCAAACCCCCTCCCCCCTCCCATACACACACACGACCAAACACTCCCCGCCAGCCACACA